TTCAGGACTCATAATGCTGACTCAGGTCAGGGTTCAGGACTCATAATGCTGACTCAGGGTTCAGGACTCATAATGCTGACTCAGGTCAGGGTTCAGACTCATAATGCTGACTCAGGTCAGGGTTCAGACTCATGATGCTGACTCAGGTCAGGGTTCAGGACTCATAATGCTGACTCAGGGTTCAGGACTCATGATGCTGACTCAGGGTTCAGGACTCATAATGCTGACTCAGGGTTCAGGACTCATAATGCTGACTCAGGTCAGGGTTCAGGACTCATAATGCTGACTCAGGTCAGGGTTCAGGACTCATAATGCTGACTCAGGTCAGGGTTCAGGACTCATAATGCTGACTCAGGGTTCAGGACTCATAATGCTGACTCAGGTCAGGGTTCAGGACTCATAATGCTGACTCAGGTCAGGGTTCAGGACTCATAATGCTGACTCAGGTCAGGGTTCAGGACTCATAATGCTGACTCAGGTCAGGGTTCAGGACTCATAATGCTGACTCAGGGTTCAGGACTCATAATGCTGACTCAGGTCAGGGTTCAGGACTCATAATGCTGACTCAGGGTTCAGGACTCATAATGCTGACTCATGTCAGGGTTCAGGACTCATCATGCTGACTCAGGTCAGGGTTCAGGACTCATAATGCTGACTCAGGTCAGGGTTTAGGACTCATAATGCTGACTCATGTCAGGGTTCAGGACTCATAATGCTGACTCATGTCAGGGTTCAGGACTCATAATGCTGACTCAGGTCAGGGTTCAGGACTCATCATGCTGACTCAGGTCAGGGTTCAGGACTTATAATGCTGACTCAGGTCAGGGTTCAGGACTCATAATGCTGACTCAGGTCAGGGTTCAGGACTCATAATGCTGACTCAGGTCAGAGTTCAGGACTCATAATGCTGACTCAGGTCAGGGTTCAGGACTCATAATGCTGACTCAGGTCAGGGTTCAGGACTCATCATGCTGACTCAGGGTTCAGGACTCATAATGGTGACTCATGTCAAGGTTCAGGACTCATCATGCTGACTCAGGTCAGGGTTCAGGACTCATCATGCTGACTCAGGTCAGGGTTCAGGACTCATCATGCTGACTCAGGTCATGACTCATCATGCTGACTCAGGTCAGGGTTCAGGACTCATAATGCTGACTCAGGTCAGGGTTCAGGACTCATAATGCTGACTCAGGTCAGGACTCATCATGCTGACTCAGGTCAGGGTTCAGGACTCATAATGCTGACTCAGGTCAGGGTTCAGGACTCATCATGCTGACTCAGGGTTCAGGACTCATAATGCTGACTCAGGGTTCAGACTCATAATGCTGACTCAGGTCAGGGTTCAGGACTCATAATGCTGACTCAGGTCAGGGTTCAGGACTCATAATGCTGACTCAGGTCAGGGTTCAGACTCATCATGCTGACTCAGGTCAGGGGTCAGGACTCATAATGCTGACTCAGGGTTCAGGACTCATGATGCTGACTCAGGGTTCAGGACTCATAATGCTGACTCAGGTCAGGGTTCAGGACTCATAATGCTGACTCATGTCAGGGTTCAGGACTCATCATGCTGACTCAGGTCAGGGTTCAGGACTCATAATGCTGACTCAGGGTTCAGGACTCATAATGCTGACTCAGGTCAGGGTTCAGGACTCATCATGCTGACTCAGGTCAGGGTTCAGGACTCATAATGCTGACTCAGGTCAGGGTTCAGGGGACTCATAATGCTGACTCAGGTCAGGGTTCAGGACTCATAATGCTGACTCAGGTCAGGGTTCAGGACTCATCATGCTGACTCAGGTCAGGGTTCAGGAATCATAATGCTGACTCATGTCAGGGTTCAGGACTCATAATGCTGACTCATGTCAGGGTTCAGGACTCATCATGCTGACTCAGGGTTCAGGACTCATCATGCTGACTCAGGTCAGGGTTCAGGACTCATCATGCTGACTCAGGGTTCAGGACTCATGATGCTGACTCAGGGTTCAGGACTCATAATGCTGACTCAGGTCAGGGTTCAGGACTCATAATGCTGACTCAGGTCAGGGTTCAGGACTCATAATGCTGACTCAGGTCAGAGTTCAGGACTCATAATGCTGACTCAGGTCAGGGTTCAGGACTCATAATGCTGACTCAGGTCAGGGTTCAGGACTCATCATGCTGACTCAGGGTTCAGGACTCATAATGGTGACTCATGTCAAGGTTCAGGACTCATCATGCTGACTCAGGTCAGGGTTCAGGACTCATCATGCTGACTCAGGTCAGGGTTCAGGACTCATCATGCTGACTCAGGTCATGACTCATCATGCTGACTCAGGTCAGGGTTCAGGACTCATAATGCTGACTCAGGTCAGGGTTCAGGACTCATAATGCTGACTCAGGTCAGGACTCATCATGCTGACTCAGGTCAGGGTTCAGGACTCATAATGCTGACTCAGTTCAGGGTTCAGGACTCATAATGCTGACTCAGGTCAGGGTTCAGGACTCATCATGCTGACTCAGGGTTCAGGACTCATAATGCTGACTCAGGGTTCAGACTCATAATGCTGACTCAGGTCAGGGTTCAGGACTCATAATGCTGACTCAGGGTTCAGACTCATAATGCTGACTCAGGTCAGGGTTCAGACTCATCATGCTGACTCAGGTCAGGGTCAGGACTCATAATGCTGACTCAGGGTTCAGGACTCATGATGCTGACTCAGGGTTCAGGACTCATAATGCTGACTCAGGTCAGGGTTCAGGACTCATAATGCTGACTCATGTCAGGGTTCAGGACTCATCATGCTGACTCAGGTCAGGGTTCAGGACTCATAATGCTGACTCAGGGTTCAGGACTCATAATGCTGACTCAGGTCAGGGTTCAGGACTCATCATGCTGACTCAGGTCAGGGTTCAGGACTCATAATGCTGACTCAGGTCAGGGTTCAGGGGACTCATAATGCTGACTCAGGTCAGGGTTCAGGACTCATAATGCTGACTCAGGTCAGGGTTCAGGACTCATCATGCTGACTCAGGTCAGGGTTCAGGAATCATAATGCTGACTCATGTCAGGGTTCAGGACTCATAATGCTGACTCATGTCAGGGTTCAGGACTCATCATGCTGACTCAGGGTTCAGGACTCATCATGCTGACTCAGGTCAGGGTTCAGGACTCATCATGCTGACTCAGGGTTCAGGACTCATGATGCTGACTCAGGGTTCAGGACTCATAATGCTGACTCAGGTCAGGGTTCAGGACTCATAATGCTTACTCAGGTCAGGACTCATCATGCTGAATCAGGTCAGGGTTCAGGACTCATAATGCTGACTCATGTCAGGGTTCAGGACTCATCATGCTGACTCAGGTCAGGGTTCAGGACTCATAATGCTGACTCAGGGTTCAGGACTCATAATGCTGACTCATGTCAGGGTTCAGGACTCATAATGCTGACTCAGGTCAGGGTTCAGGTCTCATAATGCTGACTCAGGGTTCAGGACTCATAATGCTGACTCAGGTCAGGGTTCAGGACTCATCATGCTGACTCAGGTCAGGGTTCAGGACTCATAATGCTGACTCAGGGTTCAGGACTCATAATGCTGACTCAGGTCAGGGTTCAGGACTCATAATGCTGACTCAGGTCAGGGTTCAGGACTCATCATGCTGACTCAGGTCAGGGTTCAGGACTCATAATGCTGACTCAGGGTTCAGGACTCATAATGCTGACTCAGGTCAGGGTTCAGGACTCATAATGCTGGCTCAGGGTTCAGGACTCATCATGCTGACTCAGGTCAGGGTTCAGGACTCATAATGCTGACTCAGGGTTCAGGACTCATAATGCTGACTCATGTCAGGGTTCAGGACTCATAATGCTGACTCAGGGTTCAGGACTCATAATGCTGACTCAGGTCAGGGTTCAGGACTCATCATGCTGACTCAGGTCAGGGTTCAGGACTCATAATGCTGACTCAGGGTTCAGGACTCATAATGCTGACTCAGGTCAGGGTTCAGGACTCATCATGCTGACTCAGGTCAGGGTTCAGGACTCATAATGCTGACTCAGGTCAGGGTTCAGGGGACTCATAATGCTGACTCAGGTCAGGGTTCAGGACTCATAATGCTGACTCAGGTCAGGGTTCAGGACTCATCTTGCTGACTCAGGTCAGGGTTCAGGAATCATAATGCTGACTCATGTCAGGGTTCAGGACTCATAATGCTGACTCATGTCAGGGTTCAGGACTCATCATGCTGACTCAGGGTTCAGGACTCATCATGCTGACTCAGGTCAGGGTTCAGGACTCATCATGCTGACTCAGGTCAGGGTTTAGGACTCATAATGCTGACTCATGTCAGGGTTCAGGACTCATAATGCTGACTCATGTCAGGGTTCAGGACTCATAATGCTGACTCAGGGTTCAGGACTCATCATGCTGACTCAGGTCAGGGTTCAGGACTCATCATGCTGACTCAGGGTTCAGGACTCATAATGCTGACTCGGGTCAGGGTTCAGGACTCATAATGCTGACTCAGGTCAGGGTTCAGGACTCATAATGCTGACTCAGGTCAGGGTTCAGGACTCATAATGCTGACTCAGGTCAGGGTTCAGGACTCATAATGCTGACTCAGGTCAGGGTTCAGGACTCATAATGCTGACTCAGGTCAGGGTTCAGAACTCATAATGCTGACTCAGGTCAGGGTTCAGGACTCATAATGCTGACTCAGGTCAGGGCTCAGGACTCATAATGCTGACTCAGGTCAGGGTTCAGGACTCATCATGCTGACTCAGGTCAGGGCTCAGGACTCATAATGCTGACTCAGGGTTCAGGACTCATAATGCTGACTCAGGTCAGGGTTCAGGACTCATAATGCTGACTCAGGTCAGGGTTCAGGACTCATAATGCTGACTCAGGTCAGGGTTCAGGACTCATAATGCTGACTCAGGGTTCAGGACTCATAATGCTGACTCAGGTCAGGGTTCAGGACTCAGTTTTCAAAGGCCTCTCTTCTTCTGTGGTGTTTCCAGCTGGTAGAGCAGCAGCTGTTTGAACGCAGCCGGAGGTTCCTCCGCAGATTGGGGCGTGGCCTGGGAGAAGGCTCCGCCCCCTTCCAGCAGGTGGTGTCAGTGCTGCAGGGAAGCTCCGCCCCCTTACCTGAGGACATGGAGCAGGTAAGCAACACGTTATGATCATCATTCATTGATTATCTACACATATATTAACTATAGAGTCAATTTATTTCCATCCCACAACACTTTCTGCTCTCAGATCTCATCTCTCCTGGGTTGTCACGGCGACCTGCACAAGGAATTCTGGGAGTTTTTCAAGCAGCTTCACGGCCGGGCCGTAGAGACGGACTCCATTTCCCAGAGTCCTCCTCTGAACAGGGACAGGAAGAGAGACGAGAGACCTGAGGAGGCGGAATTAGAGCAACTTGAAGAGGCGGAGTCAGAGCTACTTGAGGAGGTGGAGTTAGAGCAACTTGAAGAGGCGGAGTCAGAGCTACTTGAGGAGGTGGAGTTAGAGCAACTTGAAGAGGCGGAGTCAGATCAACTTGAGGAGGCGGAGTCAGAAGAACTTGAGGAGGCGGAGTTTGCGGAGGCGGGGTCAGAACGACCAGAAGAGGCGGAGTCAGAGCAAACCGACGGCGCCAAAATCATGACTCTGAGTGACGAAAAAGTGATCTGGACCCGGTGAGGAGACACACACACACACACACACACACACACACACACACACACACCAGTGGTTGCGTTAACCGCCAAAAATAAAATGATATCGTTTCCAAACCGTACTTTGCCGTACAAATCATTGAAATGTCTGGGAGTTTTTGCTTTACGCTGAGCACTCCCGCGAGGTGCTAACACCGAGCTAACAGTTCACGAGGCGCTCTCTCCTCCTCAAATAGAATTAGGACTGTACTGTCACTGTACTCGAGTACATTTCTCTAGCATCAGTACTTTACTCCACTACTTATTACTTATGACTTTTTACACTTTGAACACAAATACCTGTACTTTCTACTTCTTACATGTTGAACACAAATACCTGTACTTTCTACTTCTTACATGTTGAACACAAATACCTGTACTTTCTACTTCTTACATGTTGAACACAAATACCTGTACTTTCTACTTCTTACATGTTGAACCCAAATACCTGTACTTTCTACTTCTTACATGTTGAACACAAATACCTGTACTTTCTACTTCTCACATGTTGAACACAAATACCTGTACTTTCTACTTCTCACATGTTGAACACAAATACCTGTACTTTCTACTTCTTACATGTTTAACACATATACCTGTACTTTCTACTTCTTACATGTTGAACACAAATACCTGTACTTTCTACTTCTTACATGTTGAACTCAAATACCTGTACTTTCTACTTCTCACATGTTGAACACAAATACCTGTACTTTCTACTTCTCACATGTTGAACACATATACCTGTACTTTCTACTTCTTACATGTTGAACACAAATACCTGTACTTTCTACTTCTTACATGTTGAACTCAAATACCTGTACTTTCTACTTCTTACATGTTGAACTCAAATACCTGTACTTTCTACTTCTCACATGTTGAACTCAAATACCTGTACTTTCTACTTCTTACATGTTGAACACAAATACCTGTACTTTCTACTTCTCACATGTTGAACTCAAATACTTGTACTTTCTACTTCTTACATGTTGAACTCAAATACCTGTACGTTCTACTTCTCACATGTTGAACTCAAATACCTGTACTTTCTACTTCTCACATGTTGAACACAAATACCTGTACTTTCTACTTCTTACATGTTGAACTCAAATACCTGTACTTTCTACTTCTTACATGTTGAACTCAAATACCTGTACTTTCTACTTCTTACATGTTGAACTCAAATACCTGTACTTTCTACTTCTTACATGTTGAACTCAAATACCTGTACTTTCTACTTCTTACATGTTGAACTCAAATACCTGTACTTTCTACTTCTTACATGTTGAACTCAAATACCTGTACTTTCTAGTTCTTACATGTTGAACCCAAATACCTGTACTTTCTACTTCTTACATGTTGAACTCAAATACCTGTACTTTCTACTTCTTACATGTTGAACACAAATACCTGTACTTTCTACTTCTTACATGTTGAACACAAATACCTGTACTTTCTACTTCTCACATGTTGAACACAAATACCTGTACTTTCTACTTCTTACATGTTGAACTCAAATACCTGTACTTTCTACTTCTTACATGTTGAACTCAAATACCTGTACTTTCTACTTCTTACATGTTGAACTCAAATACCTGTACTTTCTACTTCTCACATGTTGAACACAAATACCTGTACTTTCTACTTCTTACATGTTGAACTCAAATACCTGTACTTTCTACTTCTTACATGTTGAACTCAAATACCTGTACTTTCTACTTCTTACATGTTGAACTCAAATACCTGTACTTTCTACTTCTTACATGTTGAACACAAATACCTGTACTTTCTACTTCTTACATGTTGAACCCAAATACCTGTACTTTCTACTTCTCACATGTTGAACTCAAATACCTGTACTTTCTACTTCTTACATGTTGAACACAAATACCTGTACTTTCTACTTCTTACATGTTGAACTCAAATACCTGTACTTTCTACTTCTCACATGTTGAACCCAAATACCTGTACTTTCTACTTCTTACATGTTGAACTCAAATACCTGTACTTTCTACTTCTCACATGTTGAACTCAAATACCTGTACTTTCTACTTCTCACATGTTGAACCCAAATACCTGTACTTTCTACTTCTTACATGTTGAACTCAAATACCTGTACTTTCTACTTCTCACATGTTGAACCCAAATACCTGTACTTTCTACTTCTTACATGTTGAACTCAAATACCTGTACTTTCTACTTCTTACATGTTGAACTCAAATACCTGTACTTTCTACTTCTTACATGTTGAACTCAAATACCTGTACTTTCTACTTCTTACATGTTGAACTCAAATACCTGTACTTTCTACTTCTCACATGTTGAACCCAAATACCTGTACTTTCTACTTCTTACATGTTGAACTCAAATACCTGTACTTTCTACTTCTTACATGTTGAACACAAATACCTGTACTTTCTACTTCTCACATGTTGAACTCAAATACCTGTACTTTCTACTTCTTACATGTTGAACACAAATACCTGTACTTTCTACTTCTTACATGTTGAACTCAAATACCTGTACTTTCTACTTCTTACATGTTGAACTCAAATACCTGTACTTTCTACTTCTTACATGTTGAACTCAAATACCTGTACTTTCTACTTCTCACATGTTGAACCCAAATACCTGTACTTTCTACTTCTTACATGTTGAACTCAAATACCTGTACTTTCTACTTCTTACATGTTGAACTCAAATACCTGTACTTTCTACTTCTCACATGTTGAACTCAAATACCTGTACTTTCTACTTCTCACATGTTGAACCCAAATACCTGTACTTTCTACTTCTTACATGTTGAACTCAAATACCTGTACTTTCTACTTCTCACATGTTGAACCCAAATACCTGTACTTTCTACTTCTTACATGTTGAACTCAAATACCTGTACTTTCTACTTCTTACATGTTGAACTCAAATACCTGTACTTTCTACTTCTCTCATGTTGAACTCAAATACCTGTACTTTCTACTTCTCACATGTTGAACCCAAATACCTGTACTTTCTACTTCTTACATGTTGAACTCAAATACCTGTACTTTCTACTTCTCTCATGTTGAACTCAAATACCTGTACTTTCTACTTCTTACATGTTGAACACAAATACCTGTACTTTCTACTTCTTACATGTTGAACTCAAATACCTGTACTTTCTACTTCTTACATGTTGAACTCAAATACCTGTACTTTCTACTTCTTACATGTTGAACTCAAATACCTGTACTTTCTACTTCTCTCATGTTGAACTCAAATACCTGTACTTTCTACTTCTTACATGTTGAACACAAATACCTGTACTTTCTACTTCTCTCATGTTGAACTCAAATACCTGTACTTTCTACTTCTTACATGTTGAACACAAATACCTGTACTTTCTACTTCTTACATGTTGAACTCAAATACCTGTACTTTCTACTTCTTACATGTTGAACTCAAATACCTGTACTTTCTACTTCTTACATGTTGAACTCAAATACCTGTACTTTCTACTTCTTACATGTTGAACTCAAATACCTGTACTTTCTACTTCTTACATGTTGAACACAAATACCTGTACTTTCTACTTCTTACATGTTGAACTCAAATACCTGTACTTTCTACTTCTTACATGTTGAACTCAAATACCTGTACTTCTACTTCTTACATGTTGAACACAAATACCTGTACTTTCTACTTCTTACATGTTGAACACAAATACCTGTACTTTCTACTTCTTTCATGTTGAACTCAAATACCTGTACTTTCTACTTCTTACATGTTGAACACAAATACCTGTACTTTCTACTTCTTACATGTTGAACTCAAATACCTGTACTTTCTACTTCTTACATGTTGAACACAAATACCTGTACTTTCTACTTCTTTCATGTTGAACACAAATACCTGTACTTTCTACTTCTTACATGTTGAACACAAATACCTGTACTTTCTACTTCTCACATGTTGAACTCAAATACCTGTACTTTCTATTTCTTACATGTTGAACACAAATACCTGTACTTTCTACTTCTCACATGTTGAACACAAATACCTGTACTTTCTACTTCTTACATGTTGAACTCAAATACCTGTACTTTCTACTTCTTACATGTTGAACTCAAATACCTGTACTTTCTATTTCTTACATGTTGAACACAAATACCTGTACTTTCTACTTCTTACATGTTGAACACATATACCTGTACTTTCTACTTCTCACATGTTGAACTCAAATACCTGTACTTTCTACTTCTTACATGTTGAACTCAAATACCTGTACTTTCTACTTCTTACATGTTGAACTCAAATACCTGTACTTTCTACTTCTTACATGTTGAACACAAATACCTGTACTTTCTACTTCTCACATGTTGAACTCAAATACCTGTACTTTCTACTTCTCACATGTTGAACTCAAATACCTGTACTTTCTACTTCTCACATGTTGAACTCAAATACCTGTACTTTCTACTTCTCACATGTTGAACTCAAATACCTGTACTTTCTACTTCTTACATGTTGAACTCAAATACCTGTACTTTCTACTTCTTACATGTTGAACTCAAATACCTGTACTTTCTACTTCTTACATGTTGAACTCAAATACCTGTACTTTCTACTTCTTACATGTTGAACTCAAATACCTGTACTTTCTACTTCTTACATGTTGAACTCAAATACTTGTACTTTCTACTTCTCTCATTTTCCAAACAGCTGGTTCCTTTAGTCTGAATGTGTGTTTGATGCGTGATCATTATTCTTTAGAGTCATTGCGTGCCTATTGATTTGAACACGATCCGTGTATCCATCATTTCCTGGTCTTCTCTAAAGAAGAGGGACCAATGGAAACGTTGTCATGTTGCCGTTGTTCAGCATGGAAACATTCATTAGCTAACAATGACATTATTGTTCTATTAATATAAAGGGAGGTCAGGTACTCTTTAAAGCAGCTGCTAGTTATGGGTACTTTTTACTGAAGTACATTTCAAAGCCTCTTTACTTTTACTTGAGTAAAGAAGTTAGTCAGTACTTCTACTTTCACCAGAGTGTTTTTAAACACGAGTATCTGTACTTCTACTTGAGGAAAGGATGTGAGTACTTCTACCTGAGTAAAGGATGTGAGTACTTCTACTTGAGTGAAGGATGTGAGTACTTCTACTTGAGTAAAGGATGTGTGTACTTCTACTTGAGGAAAGGATGTGAGTACTTCTACCTGAGTAAAGGATGTGAGTACTTCTACCGGAGTAAAGATGTGTGTACTTCTACCTGAGTAAAGGATGTGAGTAAAGGATGTGAGTTCCTTCTCTGACTGTACCCCCCCCCCCCCCCCCCCCCCCCCCCCCCACAGGCTGGAGGACCGCAGCATCCTGACCTCCAGCCAGCAGAGAGGAGCCAGCAGGAGCACCTTCAGCCTGATCTCAGAGCAGCTGGAGGACAAGACCCCTCAGCAGGTAATCATATATGTAAGACATGGGCGTCGCAGCCATTATATGAGGGTGGGACAAGTCCCCCCCCACCTTTCAAATGATTAGTTTAGACTCCCCCACTTCTACCATGTGGAAAGTCCGTGAATCGTTCTCTCCACTCGCCTCTCTCTGTAGAGCGCTGTGTCAGAGCTTCATATCAAATCCATTCCACTTGCTTATTGAGAGAATGCCCAAATCAATGAAAGTCCGTCCCATGTTTTCACTGCTGCTTTGCACCAAGGCAGATTCTCACATAGCGCGCATGTTCAAGGAGTGTTGCCATAGTTGGACAGCTCAGATCTGTTGAAGTGATGCCGGTAGCGGAGGTAAGGCACACACACCAAGTGTTCAGGACATTGTTAATACAGCGAAAATCAAAGCTGACGATCTCTTGGTTTGATATGTTTTCTCCCCCAAACAACATGGACATGAGAACACTTCAAAGAAGAGGAAAGTAAGTCTTCAGCTGGCAGTTAATCAGTTACCAGTGATGGCGGCGAGGAGTTTGGTCTTTATGTCATGATAGAGAGATTCAAATAGTGAATAGTTTAGATGAGAAAAGGCATGGAAATGCCAGGTTGCTATTTATCATGTAAACAGGGAACTTGAATAGCTCATGTGAACACCATGATGTCCTGGAGAGACGCAGTCAGTGTGTTTCACTGGAGCCTCAGTTCCATGAGAGATTATTTTCTGAGTTCTCTCTCAAAATGATAATGTGCATTATGTTTTAATTATACTTCTTATCATTCAGAAGCTTTGTGTGTGTTTATGTTTTACTGAGTGCTCATAGGCCATTTCCATCCCAGTGTTCAGTTAACTGTTTATTTTCTGTGCACATTACACACACAGCTAATATTCTACCTACTGCTTGGGGCTTTGAGTCTTCAACATGTCCAATGCCACAGACTGGGACTCACTTTAGACTCAGTTGTATTTACATTCAGTATGACTTGTTATGGTTCAATGTGAAAGAGTATACTGCTCAGTCAATAGTGATCACTTCACCACCTCTGTTGACATCTAGGCGCTTGAGAGTGAGTCAGAGGCAGAACACAGGGACAGTGGAGAGAGGTCCGTGCTGAGGTGAGTGATGAAAGGGAAATGACAGTTGAGAGTACATTGTGATGTGGACTCTCATCCCAGAGTGTTCAGGAAGTCAGTGGGGATATTGAACAGGAAGCATTTCAGTGAAGGGGCATCATGTGACCAAAGACAGAAGAGCAACATCTGAGTCAGTGATACCATTCCTAGGTGAACTTAACGTATGGAGTCAGATCATTCTCAATGTTAATAAATGCTCACAGAAGGATTCACACATGTATTTTGTGATTTATATATAAATGACTCCACAACAATATCTCTCAACGCACTCACACAGATTTATTGTTGTATATAAATGTACAAAAAAATGGGCATTGAAGCAGCTTTTCTTGTGAACATCTGCATCTGTGTTTTGTTGTTTTGAGACTCCCCTGAGGGAAAAGACGAATGCATTTAGTTAACAGGGAACTTTGGAAATTATAACTAATTGTGGTTTTCTTCTAAAACAACAAATATGTATGAGTGAGAAAAAAATGCATACAAAATTGCGTTATTAACGCGTTAACTTGACAGCCCTAGTTTTACGACAAGCTCACGACAGGCCGTGGTATATGGGCATTACATCACAGCTAAGGGGCGTGGTTCGGCCGGGGGGGTCTTCTTCTTCTGTTGTTATTTAATTCACAGCTTCCTGTCTCCTTTAGGTGAGTCTGCGTTTCGACCACCTGATGAACCTGTTCCTCTCCAGCAGCAAGACGCCTGACCACTGACGCTCCTCACTGCACACACACTGCACACACACTGCACACACACTGCACACTGCACACATACTGCACACTGCACACACTGCACACTGCACACACACTGCACACACACTGCACACACACTGCACACACACTGCACACTGCACACATACTGCACACTGCACACACTGCACACTGCACACACACACTGCACACACACTGCACACACACTGCACACACACTGCACACTGCACACATACTGCACACTGCACACACTGCACACTGCACACACACTGCACACACACTGCACACTGCACACACACTGCACACTGCACACACACTGCACACACACTGCACAGGTATGGACAGTATGAATGTTCTACAGGTTGACCTCTGACCTCAGGAGACTCAGATAGACTTCGTTCTTCTTTTTTATTTCTTGTTTTATTTATTATTTTGTTTTATGTTTTTTCTTAAAAGTTAGTTTTTAAAAATGTGTTAACGGTTGAACTGTTTCTGGATATTACCCACAATGCCTCAGCAGCCCGTGTGAGCTATGAATGTGTGTAAATGGACCTGTTTGTTATTCATATTGAATATGAGTGAAGGTCGAACGCTTCAATAAAATACCTTTACATTTCTCACTGATTTACTCTTTGAACTCATTGAACAGAACATTAGGCGGTAGCTAGAGGATGACATTGCTTCATGCTGAAAAGTAATGTGTGAGAAGAAAGTGAAGAATTTAGATTGAAATGATCCATGACACTGGGGGCTTGAATGTGTGATGAGAGAAGGAAGTGAAAAGGCGAAGCAGCAGTAGTTTATTTATATAGCACTGTTCAACACAAGGCAATTCAAAGTGCTTTAAATGAAAGACATTCAGAAAATGTTATTTAAAATCAGTCATTAAAAAGAAAAGCTAATAAAATAAACATTAAAAGAAAAAGTACATGGATAAAAGTTTCAGTGCAGTCTAAGATATGAATAGTTCAATTAAAAGCAGCGACAAAAAGAAAAGTCTTCTTGCTGGATTTAAAAGTAGTAAGAGTTGTAGCGGACCTGCAGGTTTCTGGGAGTTTGTTCCAGATATTTGGAGCATAATAACTGAACGCTGCTTTACCATGTTTAGTTCTGACTCTGGGGACAGAAAGCTGACCAGTCCCTGAAGACCTGAGAGATCTGGATGCTTCATCATTTAGCAGGAGGTCAGAAATGTATTTTGGGCCTAAACCATTCAGTGCTTTATAAACCAGCAGCAGTATTTAGAAATATATTCTTTGACACACAGGAAGCCAGTGTAAAGACTTCAGAACTGGAGTGATCCACTTTCTTAGTGTCAGTGAGGACTCGAGCAGCGGCGTTCTGAATCAGCTGCAGCTTCCTAATAGATGTTTTAGTGAGACCTGTGAAGACACCATTGCAGTAGTCCAGTCTACTGAAGATAAAAGCATGGACAAGTTTCTCCAGATCCTGCTGTGACATTAGTCTTTTAATCCTAGATATATTCTTTAGGTGATAGTAGGCTGATTTAGTAACTGTTTTAATGTGACTGTTGAAACTCTGGTCAGAGTCCATGACTACACCTAGATTTCTGGCTCTATCTGTTGTTTTGAACATTGCAGACTGAAGCTCAGCGCTAACTTTTATACATTCTGACTTGGCTCCAAAAACCATTAACTCAGTTTTATCTTTGTTTAATTGGAGAAAGTTCTGACACATCCAGTCATTGATTTGTTCAATGCACTTACTCAATGTTTGAACTGGAGCATAGTCTCCTGGTGAAATTGTTACGTAAATGTGTGTGTCATCTGCATAGCTATGGTAACTTATTTTGTTGTTCTTCATTATCTGAGCCAGTGGTAGCATGTAGATGTTTAAAGAGAAGAGGCCCCAAGATGGAGCCTTGAGGAACCCCACATGTCATATTGAACTGCAAACTTCTGAACTAACTTGATGGCGAATGATCTGTCGCCATGGCAACGGCATTTGATGACACCCCATAATACGCTTAGATGCGTTGATGGCTGCATCGTTACCAAACCTGTGAAGTCTTGTGCCATTTTGAGCATTTTCACTGAAGTTATGAGAAAACCGTGTTTCATGGTGATCATTGTGTTTCCATGGCAACGGCATTTGAAGAAATCTCAAAACTGTCCCGTAGACGTCTTCACGGCTGGACTGTTAGCACACATGTGAAATTTGAGCACTTTTTGAACATTTTCATAGGTATTATAGCGACATCGTCTTTTATAGCGAGGGAAACGGCATATGATGAAACCCCATAATTGACGTAGAGCTGTTGAGGGCTGGACCGTTAACCTTTATCTGAAGTCTGCTGCTCTGGGGCCTCGTTTATAAAGCTTTGCGTAGGATTAAGCAAATAAATACGCATAGACACTTTCCGATGACGACAGAACAGCTAAAAAAGATTCAGATTCTGGTTCTTTGGGAGGTGGAGATAAATCATATTGTTTGGTGGATGCAGTTTGAACCAGAGGAGCAGCATGGAGGTCGGATCGTCACCAACATAAATAAATAAGTGGTCCGAAAAAGGTTCATGACAAAAATAATACACATAGCCTTCCTCAGGCAGTGTGTTTGCACCGGGGACAGGAGACCCCCCCCCCTGATGAGAGACTAAGAAGTGAACGGGGAATCCCTCCGGTGTGGAGTCATGACGACTGGATCTGAGTTATGTGTTTGTATTTGGTGGTTTGTGTCCCAGCTGTGGATCAGCTCTAGAAATCACAGGTGTTTCTATTTGAGCTAACGTGCTCTAGAGATCACAGGTGTTTCTAGTTGAGCTAACGAGCTCTGTAGAGATCACAGGTGTTTCTATTTGAGCTAACGAGCTCTGTAGAGATCACAGGTGTTTCTATTTGAGCTAACGTGCTCTAGAGATCACAGGTGTTTCTAGTTGAGCTAACGAGCTCTGTAGAGATCACAGGTGTTTCTATTTGAGCTAACGAGCTCTGTAGAGATCACAGGTGTTTCTATTTGAGCTAACGAGCTCTGCAGAGATCACAGGTGTTTCTAGTTGAGCTAACGAGCTCTGTAGAGATCACAGTTGTTTCTATTTGAGCTAACGAGCTCTGCAGAGATCACAGGTGTTTCTAGTTGAGCTAACGAGCTCTGTAGAGATCACAGGTGTTTCTAGTTGAGCTAACGAGCTCTAGAGATCACAGGTGTTTCTATTTGAGCTAACGAGCTCTGTAGAGATCACAGGTGTTTCTAGTTGAGCTAACGTGCTCTAGAGATCACAGGTGTTTCTATTTGAGCTAACGAGCTCTAGAGATCACAGGTGTTTCTAGTTGAGCTAACGTGCTCTAGAGATCACAGGTGTTTCTATTTGAGCTAACGTGCTCTAGAGATCACAGGTGTTTCTATTTGAGCTTACGAGCTCTAGAGATCACAGGTGTTTCTATTTGAGCTAACGTGCTCTAGAGATCACAGGTGTTTCTATTTGAGCTAACGTGCTCTAGAGATCACAGGTGTTTCTAGTTGAGCTAACGTGCTCTAGAGATCACAGGTGTTTCTATTTGAGCTAACGTGCTCTAGAGATCACAGGTGTTTCTAGTTGAGCTAACGTGCTCTAGAGATCACAGGTGTTTCTATTTGAGCTAACGTGCTCTAGAGATCACAGGTGTTTCTAGTTGAGCTAACGTGCTCTAGAGATCACAGGTGTTTCTATTTGAGCTAACGAGCTCTGTAGAGATCACAGGTGTTTCTATTTGAGCTAACGTGCTCTAGAGATCACAGGTGTTTCTATTTGAGCTAACGAGCTCTGTAGAGATCACAGGTGTTTCTAGTTGAGCTAACGAGCTCTGTAGAGATCACAGGTGTTTCTATTTGAGCTAACGAGCTCTGTAGAGATCACAGGTGTTTCTAGTTGAGCTAACGAGCTCTAGAGATCACAGGTGTTTATAGTTGAGCTAACGAGCTCTGTAGAGATCACAGGTGTTTCTAGTTGAGCTAACGAGCTCTAGAGATCACAGGTGTTTCTAGTTGAGCTAACGAGCTCTAGAGATCACAGGTGTTTCTAGTTGAGCTAACGTGCTCTAGAGATCACAGGTGTTTCTAGTTGAGCTAACGAGCTCTAGAGATCACAGGTGTTTCTATTTGAGCTAACGTGCTCTAGAGATCACAGGTGTTTCTATTTGAGCTAACGTGCTCTAGAGATCACAGGTGTTTCTATTTGAGCTAACGAGCTCTAGAGATCACAGGTGTTTCTATTTGAGCTAACGTGCTCTAGAGATCACAGGTGTTTCTATTTGAGCTAACGTGCTCTAGAGATCACAGGTGTTTCTATTTGAGCTAACGTGCTCTAGAGATCACATGTGTTTCTAGTTGAGCTAACGTGCTCTATAGATCACAGGTGTTTCTATTTGAGCTAACGAGCTCTGTAGAGATCACAGGTGTTTCTATTTGAGCTAGCGTGCTCTAGAGATCACAGGTGTTTCTATTTGAGCTAACGAGCTCTGTAGAGATCACAGGTGTTTCTAGTTGAGCTAACGAGCTCTAGAGATCACAGGTGTTTATAGTTGAGCTAACGAGCTCTGTAGAGATCACAGGTGTTTCTATTTGAGCTAACGAGCTCTGTAGAGATCACAGGTGTTTCTAGTTGAGCTAACGAGCTCTGTAGAGATCACAGGTGTTTCTATTTGAGCTAACGAGCTCTGTAGAGATCACAGGTGTTTCTAGTTGAGCTAACGAGCTCTAGAGATCACAGGTGTTTCTAGTTGAGCTAACGAGCTCTGTAGAGATCACAGGTGTTTCTAGTTGAGCTAACGAGCTCTAGAGATCACAGGTGTTTCTAGTTGAGCTAACGAGCTCTAGAGATCACAGGTTTTTCTAGTTGAGCTAACGAGCTCTAGAGATCACAGGTGTTTCTATTTGAGCTAACGAGCTCTAGAGATCACAGGTGTTTCTAGTTGAGCTAACGTGCTCTAGAGATCACAGGTGTTTCTATTTGAGCTAACGTGCTCTAGAGATCACAGGTGTTTCTAGTTGAGCTAACGAGCTCTAGAGATCACAGGTGTTTCTATTTGAGCTAACGTGCTCTAGAGATCACAGGTGTTTCTATTTGAGCTAACGTGCTCTAGAGATCACAGGTGTTTCTAGTTGAGCTAACGAGCTCTAGAGATCACAGGTGTTTCTATTTGAGCTAACGTGCTCTAGAGATCACAGGTGTTTCTAGTTGAGCTAACGTGCTCTAGA